TTTTTCAAAAGATTCTGGAGCATGTGTGGGGTGGACATTATTGAAGCTTCCCGCTTGTGGTTAGAGCAAGGCAGATTCCCAGACGGATTGGGAGATACAAACATTGTGCTTATTCCAAAATGTGACACACCAGCAACTATGAGTGATCTTCTGCCAATATCGCTTTGTAACGTGATTTATAAAATTGTTGCCAAAGTTTTGGCCAATAGACTCCAAAAAATCCTCTCTGCTTGTGTTTCTATCGATCAGTCGGGTTTTGTATCAGGGCGGTGCATTATTGATAATGTGTTGATTACTAATGAAGTTATCCACTTTCTAAAATGTAAAACAGGAGGATCAAGGGGCGCGGCAGCTCTTAAGATCGACATTAGCAAGGCATACGATCGAGTGGATTGGGGTTACCTTTTTGCTATTATGGATAAAATGGGGTTCAGCCCAAAGTGGGTCTCGTGGATGAAAATGTGTGTCACATCGGTGCGATATAGGGTCCTTGTGGATGAAGATTATGTGGGACCAATCTTGCCAAATAGAGATTTGAGACAAGGAGACCCCTTATCTCCTTACCTGTTCATTCTATGTGTTGAGGGCTTCTCGGTACTACTTCGCCAAGCAGAAAGAAGAGGGGAGTTACATGGCATCCGGGTATGTAGACGAGCTCCGGCAATTAGTCATCTCTTATTTGCGGATAAAAGATTCCTCTTTTTTCGTGCAACGGAGGCAGAAGCTCAACACCTTCATAGCATTTTGGACATTTATGCTTTGGCCTCCGATCAACACATAAACTTAAAAATCTGAAATTACATTTAGCAGAAATATTGAAGCACCAGTGAAGGACCAGATTGCAGGCATTTTTGGAGTCGGGATGAGCTTGGGTTCTGGGAGGTATCTTGGCCTTCCTTCCATGGTTGGCAGAAATAAGAGGGCGGTTTTTAATTATGTTAAAGATAGAATATGGAGTAAGGTGTCTAGTTGGAGTAGTAAATTATTATCCCAAGCTGGAAGAGAGGTGCTAATCAAGTCAGTGTTGCAGGCTATTCCCACTTATTGTATGAGCGTTTTTTTTGTTACCTAGTACTCTTCAAGAAGAGCTTGAGAGGATGATGAATTCATTCTGCTGGGGCTCAGGTACAAGAGGTGGCAGAGGTATCAATTGGTTGAGTTGGGAAAAGCTGACAATCAGGAAGGCAAATGGTGGAATGGGATTTCGGCACCTTCACGGTTTCAACTTGGCCATGTTGGGGAAACAAGGTTGGAAATTTATTTCTGACCCGGATGCTATGGTTACACGTGTTTTCAAAGCAAGATACTTCCTTAAAGGGGATTTCTTTGGGGCTGGCATTGGCCATAACCCTAGTTTGACATGGCGTAGCATCTGGTCGGCCCGAATTTTGGTTAAGGAAGGATTCCGTTGGAGTGTGGGTGATGGGGAAAGGATTTGTGTTTGGGGTCAACCATGGCTTCAGAATGGCGAGGACTCGTGTATTCAAACTCAGCTTGTGCCCACAATGAGTGAGTTACGAGTTGCCCAATTAATTGACAGAAATGGAGGCAAATGGAAGGAGAGCTTCATAAGAAGCGTGTTTAGTCACATGGATGTTAATGAAATATTAGCTCTTCTGTTGATGAGGTTGCATCGGCAGGATAGTCCAGTTTGGCGATTCACAAAGGATGGAAGATTTTCCGTTCGAAGTGCATACAGGGTGTGCATGGACCAGTTGGTGGGTACGAATCATCTCAAAGAAGAAGGCCCGTGGCATAAACTATGGTCCCTGGCAGTCCCACCAAGGGTCCGTACCTTCCTTTGGAGGCTTGGACGAGACTGCATTCCGCCCAGAAATAAGCTACAAGATAAAGGTGTAGTTTGCCCAGGGGTTTGCGCCATTTGCTGCAACGCACCAGAGAATGCATGGCACACGTTTCTTTCTTGCCCTGATATCGTGGAATGCTGGCAGCAATTAGGGCTATGGAATGAAATGGCAACAACTATGACAGCAACTGAAAGTTTCTGTGAGTTTTTCATGAGCATCATTCAAGCCTTTCCAGAGAATAAATTAAAAGCTTTTAGCATGACTTTATGGAGCATATGGAAGAAGAGGAATAAGATGTGCTGGGAAGGCATCCGGGAGACCACACACCAGGTTATCTCTCGTGGGAGTGAACTGCTGCATTCCTGGGAAAGAGCTAGGATTAGCACCCAAAAGTTACTAACCAGCAGCTTGATTCAAGTCCGGTGGCAGCCCCCTCGTAATTACTTGAAGTGTAATGTCGATGCCGCTCTCTTTGCAAATGAGAAGCGAGTTGGATTCGGGGCATGTGTTCGGGATTATCGTGGGCAGTTTTACATGGCTAAATCAGGTATATGTACATCGGATTTGTGTCCAGCAGAGGCAGAAGCATGGGGCCTTAGAGAAGCTATTAAATGGATGGCTAGTACTAGGTACAAGCATGTTTTGTTTGAATCTGATTGTAAGCAACTTGTAGAAGATGTGTGCCTTAACCGTCCTAATCAGACCGAATATGGGTCATTGGTGGAGGATTGCAAAATACTTTTAGCTTCAAATAGTAACTTTAGAGTTATTTTTACTAAACGGCAAGCGAATAGTAGCGCTCACGTCCTGGCTAAGGCGGCTACTAATCACGCACCTAGCAGAATTTTCACTTTTGTTCCACATTGTATCCTAAACATTATTAATGATGAAATGAATTGAGTTTTTCTTGTCAAAAAAAAAATTAGAAGAAATAATGGATCCTTATATTTTGGCAAAGCAATGTGGCGGTATATGGGTACATATCTTTATAAACTAGTTAATGTTATAATGTACTCCACGCAGAAACACATATGGGTCTTGCCTCTTATTAATCTCATATTCATGACAATGCAATTTCCAATGATACATAAATAGGCCTTAATAGGGTATTCCTAGGCCTTCATAAATATAAAAGAAATCGTTAAAGTGGGGTTTAATACACCAACCCCTCATGAAATATAAATTTGATGCATTAGCCCATGTGATTTAAAAAATACGTCAAGCCCCTCCGTGTTATCGTTATTTATGCGCAAATCTCCTTCTATGAAAAAACTTTGATTGCCAAATAAATGAAAATTAATTAATATTTTTCTACAATTTAGAAATATTAACAAAGTTACTTGCATATGCAATCATATTATTAAAAAAGTGATTTCAAAATTGAAAAATTTGTTTTTGGAGAAAGTTTTGTGTATCAATAATCATAACACATGAGGATTTGACACATTTTTAAATCATATAAGGCTAATGCGCTAAACTTATATATCATGAGGGGTTTTGTGCATCAAACCCCGCTAGAGCGTAATACTTTGAGTTTATTGTATTTTTTTGTAATTTGAGCATGAGTATTTGAACTCTAAATATTCTCATATTTATAAAATCGGAAGCATTCTCCAAGTATCCTACATTGATAGATAAAATTTTGGGATTAAGGGGGTGTTTGGAACCGATTCTGCTTCTGCTTCTTTTGTAAAGCAGAAGCAGAATCAGAATCAGTTTTCAGAAGCCGGTCTCCCGCACCTTTTAAAAAAACTGATTCTAAGAGTAAATTAGAGCACCAGAATCACTTCTGCACTTTTACCCAAACACTGCAACTTCTGCTTCCTGAGCAAAAGGAGATTATTATTTTTTTTGTTTTTTTTACTGTTTTTTTTACTCTAGGGGGGTCTAGGGGAGGGGGCTGGGGGGAGCCTGGAGTAATAGGGGCTGAAACTCACTCCATTGAGTTTCAACCCCCTATATGCCTAGCGGGTTTCGAACTTGAGACCTTTCACTAGGCACGGTAACCTCGCAAGGAGATTAATGTACAATTACCTTATTAAAGGCTTAATTAAGAAAAAATGACCAAGAAAAGATTTTGCAATCATTTCAACCACCGCTAATAATTGTAAGAATCACGCAATTCAAAAGTTATTATATACGTACTTGGTATAAAAAATACAGAGTATTTAAGAAGGATAGAGTCAACTATTCAACTCGGAACCAAACCCCTGACGTTTATCGAGAGAATACGCCAGTACACCACTCTACAGTTCTACATGCAAAAGTTTTTTTCCCTACGGACACTAAAAGCCAATTTGGAGACCCTATTTTTTAATTTATCAGCAAACTTTTTCACCGAACATGTAATATTTGATTTTGACCGCACAATTCTATAATAATCAAAATAAGTAAGTGAATTGCTTTTGTAGCTCAATTAGCTGAAGTTACTGTGGGGGACAATTTTAGCTATTTTTCCATATAATTTTTTCTTTATTTTATTAATAATATGATTAATATCCTACGTATCTTCTTAATAATCTTTTCATGATTCAACAGATTCAGTCAGAACTTCATCAATTTTATCCAATTTAGTCGATTCAGCTAATTTCAATGTCGGCAAAAAGGCTCTAAGAATTGTAATAATCATGCAATTCAAAAGTTATATCATCTCTGATCTTTAATATAACATGTTGAGTTTTACATTATTCACATAGTTGACTTTGACTACATTTTATTTATTAGTGTATTAAACGATTATTATGTTTTGAAAATACTGTTAAATTCGTCACATCGTAAATTTAAAAAAATGATTGTTTTCCTTGTTTCGCTAATAGAGAAGTAAAGAAATAAAGATCTAAGTCATCATGCATTGACAAACGTGATGTTGCGCTTAAGGGAGAACTACCTGAGGTGAATAGTTAGAAGGATAAAAAGAGTCAAGATAATACAACCTAACTGTCTAAATGATCAACTGTTAGCAGACACTCATATATCCAACTGTGATCACATAACATGTGAATCGCCTTTTATTCATTTTAAGAAAGATTATATTTATCATGATATATAGACTTAAATCATTCTCCTCCAAAACCCTTCATCCAAACAAAACCTGACATTTAGTTAGTCATAATTCCTTTGGATTTTGATATTCAGGTGAAATTTGACAGGAATTCTAGCTTGTACCAAAATTTCAAAGTAGTGCTCAATTACCTCATTCAAATGACCAAGATGCCCTATTCTAAAGACCTTTCCAGCAACTTTGTTGAGTCCTAGACCTAAGCTTAGGTTGTATCGTTTCCATGCCCTTTTGATGATTTCTGTAGTATCAATATTTGAAGGAACAATTACAGCGGTGACTGTGTCACTGAACCATTCTTCCTTCTGGGAGCAGTTCTTCAAGCCCCAAGCCTTCACTGCTAACCTGCATGCATGACCATACTCCATAGATCAAATTAATTCTACTTTTGGTCCTACGAGTTGTATGTCATTTCCACATTTTGTCTACGTTTTTCACTTTATCCACTTTTGGTACTTGACTAATTTTTCTTGACCATTTGTGGTCCTCCCGATTTTGACACCAGAAATATCGTTGGAAGGACTATATATGGGCGAAAACACAATAATCATTAGCAAAAGTGATCAAAGTCAAAGACGTGGACCAATTGTGGAATTGGTGTGATACTCGTAAGACCAAAAAGTGGAATTTATTCGCCATAGATCCATAGGGTGTTGATTGTTATTTACAGCTCAAATGGAGATTGGAGATTATGTATAATTAATCTTTAGGGTCTTTTGGAACCAATGAAAATGATAGGAAAAGAATCATTGGGGAATTTGGAAGGAAAGAAAACGTAGAGGAAAACAAAACATTGGTTCAAACTCATTTTATTTACATGGTTCTATTATATAAAGAATAAGAGATCTAAATATAAATGTATGTCGTCGAAAAACTCATCTAAGTATATGTCATGAAAAGGTTTTGAATTATTCCTTTGCCTTCTCCAAAGTAAAATCAAGCATAACAAATAATTTTCCTTGGCATTTGTCCCTTCTCTTCTACCATTTTCTTGTTCCCAGCTAGATTTAAACTAAAGCAATCTGCAGGATTTATTACAGCCTGTTTGGATCTGCTTCCAGACAGGCTCTAAATCCCTTTTAGTAGGTCAAAAGGGCTGTTAAATTGAAAAGTGATGTTTGAGTGAGTTTCATATAAACGTTTTTAAAAAGTCAAACACATACTTAAAAGTACTTTTGAAAGAAGTATTTGATTAATGTTTCTGTTTGTTGAGGAAAATATTTATTGTGATCAAGTTTGTCTTTGTAGATCTTATTTAGCTGTTCATTGATCTTGGTATTTGGGACCAAAACTTTTAGACATTCCATTTAACAGCAGCACTTGTAACTGCATTGCCAAACAATATACTGTTTTTAGTTCATATAACTGCTTTTAGTAGAATCAGTTTCATCAAGCACTATTCCTTAAAACCTCAGTTAACAGAAGCACAGACAAGCAAGGCCTTGGAAACAGTACCTAGTTGCGGTAGCCAGTCGTTTGTGCCTTGCTATCACATTGTCAAGTCCTTCCTCAAAGATAAGGTCTAGAGCTGCTCTCAGCCCATAAAGAAGTTGAATGGAAGGGGTATATGGCCAATAAGTCCCTAACTTGTAGAACTTCAAGTAGTCATTCCAGTCAAAGAAAACTCTGACCGACTTTGCAGTTTTGGAGGCATCAAGAGCCTTAGGGCTAGCACAGACAATTCCTATCCCCGTAGGAAGTGACAGAGCTTTCTGTGAACCAGTTAATGCCACATCAACACCCCATTCATCCATCCGGAAATCAATTGCACAAACGGAGGACACACCATCAACAAGAAGGAGAGCTGGATGGTGATAGTGATCTGAGCAGGCACAGCACTCTTAGGTCTTGTTTGGAATGATTTGGTGGTTGGAATTAACTAAATTACTCAATAAGAATTAGAGAAAACAATTGGTTTATCAATTCAGGATATGAAAAGTATAAAATTCAAATATGTATGAGTGGAAATGTGGAATTATCAACCCCGGGCTTAAAAGTTATGAGTTCTAATTCTTTTTATGAGTTGTTTAAATTATTATTGGTACACTCTGTATTAGATACAAAATATAGTCCATGAAGATTTTCTCATCGAAAATTAGCATAAAAACAACTTAAAATAGTAAAAGGTTCATAACTCATGAGCTTTCTTAGTCTTAGATGGATTGTATCATCATTCAAGTCCTAAATTAGTACTACCTCCGTTCCGTTCAAATGTTCTCATTGCAAAATGACACAATTATATAAGCAATAATTAAATATGCTAATTCAAATATATTTTGAGAAATAGTTTGATGAGTATATATATCATGGGTTATTGATGGTAACTGTGATGTTATAGATGTATTACTTCTGATATTTGATGATTAAATTGTTATTTAAGAGTGTTAATTGTTTTCTAAAATAAAAATAAAACCTTTAGCTAGGACATCCAAAAAAAGAAAGTGAGAACCTTTGAATGGGACAGAGGGAGTAGTTTTGATCTTTCAGGTCCTTAATCGATAAGACTGCGATAAAACTGCCTTAGTAAGGACCAGAGGTCACTGATTCCCATGGCAATATGAAGGGTGTGTGATTCCTGCAATTTTAGGGATTGTGGTCCTTGTGGATTCCCAAGAATCTCCTAACTCTCAACTTTTCGATCCCAAACTTAGGCATTAGGGAAAAAATACCCTTATTCTTGGGAATAAGAAGTCATCCAAACAAGTACATAACAAAGACATTCAAGCCTTATTCTTAAAAAATTTTGGGCAACTCTAACATGAATAGATCCATGATATCAGAGTTAAAAAGAGAAGAAAGATAAGAAAATTAAAAAGATAAGATGAGACAAAATGGATAAAATAAAAATAACATAAGAACATAAGAAAGATAAAAGATAAAAAGATAAAAGTACATAAGAAAGAGAAAAAAGAGATCAATCGTCCACATGAATATGCGCCCTCCACTTTGCTCTCTCCAAGGCCATACTCTCATCCCAAGAAAAAGCATATCAGTTCTGATTCCTCTAATCCAAGTCTGTGAGTCCTCTTCTCCCTCTCCTCCCCGCCTCTTCTCCCCACATCCAAGTCATTAGGAAAAAAACATTGCACTTTGTTCATATGTCGTTATAGCAATTAGTTGGTTATTCAATCTTGTTCTTATGTATGTTAGATGCTTACCAAGCAATTTTCTAACCATAGCCAAGTTGTTTGTAACTCCGGTTGTAGTCTCATTGTGTACAATGCAAACAGCCTTGATGGAATGTGCTGAATCTGCGGCCACCTTTGATCCCAAAACATCAAGATTTGCCCCATGTCCCCATTCACTCTCGACCACATCAACATTGAAATTGAGACGCTGCTGCTGATCAATCCACAGCAAACTGAACTGCCCGATAAGGAAAGACACAATCCGATCACCAGGAGACAGAGTGTTTGTAAGTGCACTTTCCCAAGCTCCAGTCCCTATTTTTTTGTATATTTCATTACTCTGTAATAAGAACAAATGCAACTATCTAGTGTACCGGTGCCCACTTTTCATCATGAAATGACCTAATTCATTTTTCATTTCCTCAACTGCTAGGTTGTGTTTGGAACTCAGAGCTCGTAGGGATATACAATTAGGTGGGAAATATAGGGGAATTCTGGAAGGAAACAAAACGTGAGAGAAAATATATAGGGGCAATAAGCGATTGGGAAAATCTGAGTGTTTGTATTTGGTGATACTTATTTTACTTATTTATGTCTATTATATAAACACTAAGAAATCTGATTGTATGTAAAAAAAAGGCTAAAGGATCAAATAGGCCCTCAAACTAACTTTAAAAGTGCAAATCACCCCCTATATGGAAGGCTCTGTTCGGCCATCGCCATTTGGGGCAGTTCCTGGTGGAATTTTTTGATGAAACTTTTTGGACATCTTATTCATTAAGTCTAGTTTACCCATAACAAATTTCATATAAAAATTCAACCAAGATGACAGTCAAATGATTTTCTGAAATGTACTGTGTTGTTTAACTGCACAATTATCTCCAAAAATTCATTTGACTGCCTTCCCGATTAAATTTTTAGCTGAAATTTTGTATGAGTAAACTAGACTTAATGAAGATGATGCTCAATAATTTTCACTAAACAATTCCACCGGGAACCGCCCCAAATTTCGTCCAGACAGAGCCTCCTAGATAAGGGGTGATTTGCACTTTTTAAGTTAGTTCGAGGGCCTATTTAACCCTTTAGCCTAAAAAAAAATACTTCTATCTCTTTTTTGTCTTCATTCTTTCCACTTTTTACATCTCAAAATCATCTCCACTTTCCTCTTATGGAAAGGAATCTATAGTTGATATTGTTTTTCTACGTAAGTAAATTCCAACCATACAATTCTCGCTTTCTTAAAATTTGTGCCAAGTCAAGATGAGATATTAAAAAGAGCCAAAGGGATAAAAAAAAAGTAATCACATCTCATTTGTCTTTACATTTTTCCTAGATCCCTTAGGTACCATGTCTATCCCAAGCTAGGATAAAGGAGATAATGTTGTGGTAGGCGTATGATGGGCAACATTATAACTTAGTCACATCACATGCATGAATCGAAATATGAATATCTCTAACTCAAATTTCATATGTCGATTCATGTTAGCCGACCCCAAACTCTTTTGGGACTAAGGCTTGGATGTTGTTGTTTCTCTCGATCCCAACATAATCTTAGACTTTGTTTAGTTTAGTGAAAAATATAGAAGAGGGATGGAGAAGAGATGGGTAGGAATTGAGAAAAATTCTTCTATTTCTCTCCATGAGGGGGAAGAAAAAAAATGGTGCTGAAAAATTCTATCATAGTCTCTCCAATTTTCTAGTAACCACACCAGTGAAACTATATACATTTCTCTCTTTCTTTCTCTCACATTATTTTTCTTATTTTTTCCAACCAAACCAAGGTTTAGTAAAGTTATATATATACAGCATTGGGCACCTGTAGTTGGGATCAGGAATGGAGTCCCACTGGTAGTCTTAAAGATCTTTTTCACATCTTGGAGTAGAGTCTTTGTCAGTGCAGGAATGGCAGACGAGCGATAGTCCTCATTGTTTCTGTTCATTGCACGGATAACTTGTTCCGGGATATTGACAGGTCCTGGAACAAAAAGATGGTTCCTTCCTGGCCCATTCATGTAGTCCATTGTCTCCCCTTTGGAACTCCCTCACACAGCTTTTAGTAATTGTTAATGCTCTAGATTCCTCCAACCCTGACAACAGTAGGTTTCCAAACTCCAATTATCACCATAGTCCTGAAGTTCCTCTTCAGAATGTTGCAACAGGAATGATATAAACCTTTTTTGCTACTATGTTCTTTCCGTATATTTTATAGTGTTAATAAATTTTAGAGCCCGGCTAGTAAAGGTCATTTGGTTGAATTGAATTAAATGATTTGATTTGCTAGATTTTATGGAAGGAAGAACTTTTTGTGAAGTTCATTTCATCCATATAAGAAATTCAAAGAAGGGGCGGAACCAGGCCAATTTTTTTTTTTTTTGGGGGGGGGGCTAAGAAATTTATCAAAAGTCAAAATACTGAAATTGTAAAAAAGTATGAGAAATATGTAATACTTCCTCCGTATTTTTTAAGATTGCTACATATGGTTTTGACACATTATTTAAAGAGGAAAGTAGTAGGGGTAATGATAGTGTAGAAAAAGTATGAAAGGAAAGATAAAAAAGGTAAAAAACTAAGGGTTATTGAGTATTTTTAAAAGGAAAACTTACTAGAAGAGAAAGTGTAGCAAACTTTTAGAAGACATTGGAAAAGAAAAATGTAGCAAACCTTAAAATATGGAGAGAATATGTGAAAATGCATATATTAGATGACTATTAATTGTTAGAAGAATAACAAGTCGAGACAGTGGGTAACCTAACATTTAATAAAATTATAAAAATCATAAATCATACGGAGTATTATGTAATGTACTGTAAATTACTCTATTAGTCTTTTTTATTTAGTTAAGATATATACACAAGTAATGATGATGATGATTTACACAATTAATAATATATCCCTAAACTAGTTAAAGATTATTAAAATTCTGATAATTTTAAAACATGAAAACTAAATAATTAAAATGATAAAAATTTCAGCCTAATACAGTAAACTAATCACAAGCTAAACTACATAATTCAGAAAAAACAAAGCACGCTACATTGTCTACAGTGTACACGTTGTCTCAATACCACAATTCCACAATTAATAAAATGATAGCAAGTGGAACAAATATATAATAAACTAGACTGAGGATCAGCGGATGAGCAGAGCTTCACACAATGCGGCTTTGCCTTTCCTCGACAGCAGATGCCGCAGGCCTAAATGCCCAAATCACCCAATGTTCTAATCGTCTGTTCACTCCCTTACAAGTTATGCATGCCGTTTCAGGTTTCAATTTTCAGCATTTCGGCCTTTATCTAATCACAGGCTCACAGCCATCTATTACACGACGTCGTTTCTCTTTCTTTAATACTTAACCAACTGGTGTCGTTTGGGTTAAGTGAAAAAACAAAACAAAAAACTCTGAAGTAGCCGATTGCCCAACTCCAGCACATGGTCGACGGAAAACCGAAGGGGTAGCGAAGAAGAAGACCAGGGGCACTGTAGATATAATATGTATATATACCCTAACATTTCCGGTGAAGAGGGGAGCCAGCACCGGCTCACCCCCTGGTCCCGCCCCTGATTCAAAGGCTACATTAATACTTATCCAGATTATTTTTTCTTATTCAGCTGATATAAGTAGAATAAGCCAACAAATAAAATTTAACATTAGGTAATGATGATCAATCCTCCAATATGCCTTATTGGTGATCATTTTGTACGACATATGCTTCATCGATATCGTTTTATGTCTTAATTAGCATTTAGCAATAATTATAAAAAAAAACGATGGCATCTACTTCCAACGCCAACCTAAGAAGCTATAACATAAATGATCTGGTTTAACTCTTTCAAACACTTGTAGTAGATATACAAATATATGAAGGATTTCCATGATAATTATCACATAATAATTCCAAAAAGTGAATTAGATAGCTTATAGCTAGGACAAAGGACTAGCTTCTCACTTTAGTGTGAGTTTCTATAGAAATTTTACTTCCATTTGATATGAAACAAAACAAACCTTCCAATTGAAAAAAACATATTGAGCCTAAACAGCTATTAGAGACTATAAAGAGGAAAAGCTTACAAAAAATAAAGTTTCAGCTAATATTTCAATTATTGATTCGGCAGGCACACCAAGCACGGCGAGCAGGATACTACAGGACTGCCAGGATAGAGAAACAAGCTGCTTTATAACTCCTTACAGAGCTGTTAGGAGATGCCTACGCCCAATTCTCATCGCTATATTGAAAATTCTGTTGGATAACATGTGGCAATTACAGTATAAGATTTGTTAAAAAACCAAGTCAGATTTTCTATAAGAAAACCCTCATAAAAATAATTAATTCACATTCAAACGTTATCATTAATTTGATAGGCAGACTTCACACCAAACAATATATGACATAAGGGGAAAGCCATCAAACTACTGTGATTAAAGTCACAGTAGACAAAAATTATATGCTATGGCCGAGAATTCAAAATATATACTTGACAAACATTGTAGACAAAAACACACCTCTTCAAAAGAAGCAGAATAGGACCAAACAAAGGATCAGAGGATCCATATAGTCTAAATTTTCTATTTTTAAATTTGAGTTTAAAATTCAAGTTAGTGTAGTAACTAACAGCGCAACAACCTAAAACCTAGAAACTGTACATTCAAAAACAAATACATCAAATTCGAAAACCAGTTTCAAGAGGTTTGAGCATAAACCCTGAAATTTGATTTTTTTTAGCTGCACAATAAAAAATATTTAAAAAGTTTATCACTTAAAAAAGAAACACCCACTTGCGATGAATGGTAGAGCGTCCTACCTCGTACAGTCTCCCAGTCGACGGCGCCATATCTTGTTTGGGTGGTTCCCACCATATCTATCTATCTTAATCTTGGAAAAGAAATTGCAGGAAAAAGTTCCAGCTAAGAAGTGTCAACTTCAGTCCTTTTTTTTATGGCTCAAAACAAATACAAAAAAATGTAGCCTAAGACTAACCGAACCCAGCCCGTCAATAAATCTAATCCCCTCCTGTTTATACGTATTCACTCAGTCAATTCAGTTTTTCTCTGCAACCCAGCACCGTCAATATATCCACTCAGCACCTTTTTTTTAAAATTAAATGCATATATCCTTAGATATTTTATTACACATCACTTATGTGTTATTTTTGTTTTACCCAATAATTATTGTTTAAAAACTCAAACATTCCGATGTAAAAAAATAAAAAATGTGAAATAATTTTTTTGTAAGTATTACAAATGCGTAGTTGAGTTCAATTTGAAATAAATTTAAAACTATTAATTGTTTTCCAACTTTCTATAGTATTAATTTTTCATTTTATATACCATGAACTTGATTAATATTAAATTTAAATCAATTGAAACACATGTTGTAAAATTAAAATACCAAAAATCAATTATTAGAAACACACATAATATTCAATACGATAATTAAAAAAAGAGGAAGAAATCCTAATGCATTGCAAAAATAGAAAAAGCTACTAACAGTAGTAGCATTATTCAACTGAAACGATTGAAAAAACATAAACAACATAAAAGTAACCCATTACACAGCATTCCCGTGATGGCCCCACAAATGATTCACGAGATCATTTTTAAGAGCAGTGTGCACTGCAGTGCTCCTGATGCGGTTATGCCGCATCATGTAGTCGTGCAAAGTCGGGGCATCGTGATTCAGATCAAACTGAATGTGTGGAACAGTATAGTCATATTGTGCACTATAGTCTTGAGTAGTTGCATCATCATCATCAGTTTCTTCATACTCATCTTCTACAATCATGTTGTGTAAAATAATGCATGTCAACATTATATCACGTAATGTTTGTGTTTGATACATTCGGCCGGGTCCTCGTACGATAGCCCATCGCATTTGTAAAATGCCAAACGCTCTTTCCACATCTTTGCGATAGGCCTCTTGCTTAGCAGTAAAGAGGCGTTTTTTTGGGGTGTCAGGGTTACTAATTGTTTTAACAAAAGTAGCCCATGTGGGATAGATTCCGTCAGCTAAATAATAACATTGATTATAGACGTTATTGTTGACCATGTAATTTACCTGAGGAGCACATCCATTAACAACAGCATCAAAAACTGGAGAGCATGCAAGTACATTAAGGTCATTGTTGGAACCCGCTGTGCCGAAGAATGCATGCCATATCCATGTGTCGTATGAAGCTACGGCCTCAAGCACAATAGTTGGTTTGTCTTTGTGCCCAGTGAACTGTCCTGCCCATGCTGTAGGACAATTCCTCCATTCCCAGTGCATGCAGTCGATGGAACCAATCATGCCGGGAAAACCTCTTTTTGTAGCCTTCTCAAGAAGACGACGAAGGTCATTGGGGTTTGGTGTTCGCAAGTACCAAGAACCATATGTTCCAATAATTGCCTTACAAAATTTCTTCAAACACGACAAAGTCGTGCTCTCCCCTAGACGGCACAACTGATCCAATGAATCAGCAGAGCACCCATTTGCTAGCATGAATATGGCACTAGTAATTTTTTGGTGAGGAGAAAGTGATACCTTATTCAATGCATCTTTTTTTGGTGCAAAGAAAGGATCGGCTCGCACCACATCATTCATTATTCGATCAAACAAAGGCATTTGCATACGAAAACGACGCCGGAATATGCGGGCGTTATAAGTTGGATTTGGACTCCAATAGTCATCCATCAAACGTTGGTGGCCATCTTCCCTGCCTCGGTCAATGTACTCACGATGACCACCTGAGCTTGAAGAAATAAGTGTCGCCATAACACCCATTCTCATACGGTGAGCGTCGGCCTCACAATCATCATACTCATCTAAGGCTGCTGACATATCGGGATAATAACTCATGGTAAGACCATTTGGAGTGGTGCAAGAGTCCAAATGTTAAAAATGGACTCCGTCGATATGAAAACAGTGTTTTGACTCCTATTCTCTGCATTCCAGCACCGTCAACAAAATACATTCTGCACATTTTTTTTACATATCAATTTAGTAAAACATTAATTAAATTATTATAAGTAATGTTTTCCTTTTAATTTTTTCTCTGATTAATCTTAAAATAAAAAAGACATATTTCGATGTAAAAAAATAAATTTCATTATTTTTTTTACGATCAAACAGTGCCAAGATCATCATAGCCGTTGGATCTATCAAAAGTTTTTAAAAAAAAAAACAGTCGTTGCTAGTGCATGCTGACATCATGCTGACGTCATCATGATGTCAGCGCTGGAAATTAATTCGAAGAGCAGCCCCTGCTCCCCGCCTGCGCACAGCAGGTATGCCCCACTCCCCTTTTTCTTTTCTTTTCCTTTTTCTTTTTGGCTGTCCAAAATTCCTCCAAATTTAACCCCTTCCCTCCCCAAACCCATTTTTAATACCCTCTACCCTCCACCAATGTATGAAATTAGGAGTCCAAAAATGTCATTTTAACATTTTGGACTCCTAATACCTCACCACTCCATTTGGTCTAAAGGAGTATATTAGAGTGTATACAGAAATGAGGGGGATAATGAGAAGGATTGAGTGTGAGAATATTGTGAAGTGAGGCATCTATTTATATACAAATATCAAGCAAGTGGCAAGATATTTAAAAACAAGTGTGTACTTATTAGATGTGAAAGGACATACCAAGTGTCTACTAATTGCATGTGCAATGAACAACCAAGTTGGTACTTATTGAATACTAGTTTTAAATACGCGCGTTGCGCGATTGCATAAATTAAAATGCCCAACGTACTTTTTATTGAGAAATATGTATATTGTATGTTGATATCATGTGATTACCTTTAGTATTAGAATATTTAATGTTCCTTCATATGAAAGAGGATCTAAAAACAAAATAAAAGAAATGCAAACCCGCATATGGGTTAGAGTCTGATTTTCTAATTCTATAATATCAAGTATCATTAGTACAATGAGGAATATCTAGTATAGTACGGGGGGCTTCACGCGATAGTACACGAGATATGAAATGAAAGGTATAGCAAATGAAGATCAAGAGAAATACTTCGTATAAAATTCATTAATATGCAATATAAGTATTTTTATTGTTCAAGTGAAAATAGGGACTTATTAAGTATTAAGTAGGGACATGTGGTTCAAATAAAAGTGAAGAAAGAAATGACATGCACGCGTTGACTATGACAGAAGAATTCAGAATATCCATTTGGGAAGAAGAGTTCTTGGCAATAGTGTGCGACATTATTTGAGAGCAAGGGGCAAAAGAAGTCTATATTTTCTATCGCGCGTTGTGCGGGTAGATTGAACAAGAGGTTTAATTTTAAACCTCATCAAAGATGATATGATTACCATTTATTTCAATCCCTATCCTGAGATCTATTTGTAATCCCCTACAACCATTTCAACCTACAGTGCTTTGCTTTGATTAAATGTTTTTATCAATTAGCAAACGATTATTTACATGACCATAAACCTTTCTTATTTAAGAAACCATTAATAGTTTTCCTCTATGAGAATATTTTGGCCATTTTCATTACTCCGCATTATTTATACACTACAACTAAAGAGTTCAGCCTCAAAAAACGATTTCTTATTTAGTCAACCATTATTAACATGTACTCTGAGCAAAATTCCTATCCTATGAGGTAGACGAGAAATATAGTTTTTACACTTGGAATGGATTGTTGCACTTATGCGAGGAAGCTGAAAATGAAACTCTTGGCATGAATAGTATCTCACTTCGCCAAGGAAGAAGCTATGGGGGCAGTGCTCAGCAACCAGCGGGCTGTGGGGAGAATTAATCTGAGTGATGAATTTTTGTAAATTGTCTACATTCTCGATCACAATTATCCATATCTACGGGAGATTAACCCTGTGACTCAGAGTTTGTAAATTGTATGTTTGATTTTTTCCTTCGTCTAAATAGTTGTATTGGAGAAAACATTAATTAGAGTGAGCAGCAAGGTATATAATGGCCGGTAGAGTTGACATTAAACGGAAGGATGACATTTAACGGAAGAATAATAGCAAAGTGACGACATTAATAACGTGTACAATATCTAAAGAATGATGTACAATTACATAATTCTAAAGTTTACCACCAACACATTTTGCATGCCTATAATACCCTTACCTCTATTCACGATTATAAGATTTTAGAGATGTTATGAAATTAGTAAAGGACTAAGCAAGTGGGTACTATCTTCATCTAAGTAAGTGGTTTTTATTCGTACATTTTTTATAAAAATAATGAATTATATAATGAAAACTGAAATTCAATTAAACTAAATAATGAACACTGAAATATACTGAATTAAATAATGAAACTGAAATGAAATTGAACTAAATAACGAAAACCAAGATACACTAGAATTAAATAACTAGTACGAAAATTGAAATACATCGGAATTAAATAACAGAAAGGAAAACTGAAATACACTGCAATTAATTAACAAAAATGAAAGCTGAAAGACTACATCATTCATGCCCTAGTCAAAAGTAGGAAAGTAGTCATCCCCATACGCAGAAGTGGCGGCATCAGTACTCGGGGCATCTTGATCATATCCCAAAATGGCATTTTGTTGTTCCCTTAGCCACTTCTGCTTTCTCGGTGAGTATTGACTTAGATCCATGGTTACGACATCTATATGTCTTAGTCTTGTAGTCGTATCAGCATTCACCTTAGCCGCCTCATACCGCTCCTCTCTTCTCTTTTCCATTAGGTCGTCTTGCTTCACCATTCTTTCCATGTACTCGAGCATCACAGGGTCCGTCCTTGAATTCTTATGTTTAACCATTTTCTTTCCCTTCTGTTTGTCACGACCCTCGGGGCGTCGAAGAGGACCACTTATACCATCGCAAGGAGAGGAACCACTACTTCCTCCAACAAACGTATCGGGAGTGACAGAAGGTATGGGCGTAAAAGTGGGAGCAGTATCAAATTGATGATACCACTTTGGGCATGCTTGAAGTATATGCCAGGCATGGTCAAACTTAAAGGCCTCGTTATGATTGTCATTTACAAAGATTGTTTGTGCGGCAATTGTCTACAAAAACACATTTATGAATTAGATGCCAATTAAATCTTGCTATAAAACACTTATTAGATATATTTGCTACATTTATATGTAGTATGTATATATACAAATTAGATATCATGATACGTAGTAATATTTTTGCTACATTTATTAGATATTACTTGATAAGTACTAAAATATCAATGTGTGAATATAATAATATATTCATTATTAATACGTACTAATATATAAATACATTAATATACATGTACGTACTACATATATAATATATATAAATATATATACTATATAATAATATGTACTCATATGTTTGCACGTATTACATATATATGGAGTATACTATAATAATACGTACTAATACATATGTCCTATATACTATATACATATAATACATATATATAGTAATATACATATACATAATATATACGTACGTACATATATATATTATACTATATACTATATATTAATGTAATATATATAATATTAGTAATATACATAATTATAATAGAATGTAAAATAGAAATAATGAATAATATATTCATGTAATACATAAAATGTTGCAATAAAATTAGGGAGGAAATAATTTAAAATACCACATCGATCAGATTGGATCCACTTCTCTGGGTTGCATTTGCTTTTTGCAAACTTCCCTTCCATAAAGAACACTGATGATTCATAACTTTAAAGCGTGATTCAACAGCCTCCCTAGTTCGAACTATCGTATTTGCCTTTTCGCAGAACAGATTGTGAACCCAGGACCAGAATGAATTGCCTGCTTGATTGATTCCGACTGCACCATCTTCAGAAATAGACACCCAAGAGTTACACAAGAATACATCTTCATTGTAACTCCAATTAGAACCCCTCTTTTGTGAAGACATGTTATTAAGTAGTATTACAAATTTGCTAAAAAAATCAAATATAAAGTAGATGAAGAATGATGATTAAGGTGTATTGAAATGAAGGTATGAGTTATGTTTATATAGAAATCCAGTCCATTGTTAAAAAAAAATACCAAAAAATAAAATAAATTACCAGCCTTTGGATGTACCTATATTGTTTTGTATGTGTTTGACACAACCGTGGCCGTCCGATCCACCAAACCAATTTTTTGATTCAATCCCAGCTTTAAAAATGAACCAAGAATCCAGCTCTCCCCCACTACACTTTTTCATACGTACAACCTATCCACTAGCCGGCCTTTTTGGCTTTTTCGTCGGCAACACTCCCACAAGACTCACGCTCTCTCACGCACCAATTAACTCCACTGCTTTGGTATTCAGTTTGTCAGGCATCTTGCGGGCCAGCCCATTACTTTTCTCCAAGATGGAGTCAATTTCCCGGCCACAGATTGCTCCCCAGGGTTCTGCAGACTCCCGGTCACTCCCCCCTCTACGAAAAATTCTCCCGGTTGCAGTCATTTTGGGGTGAAAGTCTCACATATGGGATTTTCACCCCATGCATTGCAATCAGCCTAAAGACATTAGTTCGTTCCAGATATGAGGTATACTATTAGGCTGGTCCTATTGGCCAAAAGAGAGGTGCACATATTTTCAGCTGAACTTTGGTGTGTTTCTAACTTTCTATTGGTCTAAAAGGCGGTGAGCATGATGTTAATTGTTGTTTACCTTCCTTTGCTTCTATTGGAGGAAAGGGCGGTGCGAACGGTAATGGACTAATGGGATACGTTCAAGTTCGAGTATAAAAGCATCGCTGCAGCGGTAGACTTCTCACATCAATTCGGCCTTCAAGCTCAAATAGCAAACAAGCAATATATTTCTTTCGTGGATTGAATTGGAAACGCTCCCACTTCTGGAGATGCCACAGGCAGTCGTGAGATCTTTACTGCGAGTCGACTGACCTATACGTACGGCTGCATCCACAGATTCTTCAAGTTCGGATTCATGCTACTTCCATGACTTTGTCCTTCGCAACCCTTCTTCCCACTTCCATCCTAATTTTAAAACGAGAGTTGAGGGAGATGAGCGTGATATGGTGAGGACATAAATGATGTGTGGTATAGAACCATCGGGACAACAGTCGGATGACACATCTAGATTTTTTTTTTTGAAAGATTTAATAATGTCATCTAGATAGTACTCCGAGTATGATTTTTTTATTATATAAAATCGATAATGTCAGTCTGGTCCGTAATAATCCGCATATCTATTTTTAATATGGCGTATACTCCCTATTTTTTGTATTTTTATATAGAATTATGAAAGCATAAAATACATGGAGTATCATTTTTAAAAAATATGCTCCGTATTAATCAAAATTAAACTATTATTGAAAGTTTATTGCCTTTGAACTGAAAACGTCAAATATGTCAAAGCTTTGTGGGACATGAGTATTTCATAAGGCAGATACGAAGTATTTATTTTTAAATAATTGCATTTATGGGGTTTTGCGATTGCTTATGCTTTTTAGAAGTCTTTTTTTAAAGATATTATTGGAAAAATAAATTATAGTAAAAGTAGGTAGTGTTTGGTAACAGAAATAATTTTAAATAAAATGTAAATGTTGGAGTGTTTGATAAAAAATGATTTTTAAGTAGTATTTTACTAGAATACAAAAATGCCATTATACAAATTAAATTGAATACTACCTAAATATTAAAAAAAGCTTGGCAGTAGTTCACCGGCACCTACCCAACTCGAAGTGGACAGAATAATAAGAAAGGAAGATAATTATAGCAGAGGAAAAGAATTAGCACGAGGAAGTGAAAACAGAAGTGAACAAAGTAATTCTGGTCGAGTTGGATCGGCCGACTAGGGATGCAATGACTGCTGCAACTCCGATCGCTATACCGGTGACACCAAGTTTGAGCAGAATTAACTCTCTCTCTCTCTCTATATATATATATATATATATATATATATATATAGAGAAATCATCTCATCAGGCCGGCCTGACGGGCTGCCCCGTCCGGCCGAGCCCGTTTGGGCACCTTCCCGGTGGAATTTTTTGATGAAATTTTTTGAGCATGTTCCTCATCAAGTCTAGTTTGTCCATGCCAAATTTCAGCTCAAAATTCGATCGGGAAGGTCGTCAAATGATTTTTGCAAGTTAACTGGTCCGGAATATGTATTTTCCGGACCAGTTAACTTGCAAAAATCATTTGACGACCTTCCCGATGGAATTTTGAGCTGAAATTTGGTATGGACAAACTAGACTTGATGAGGAACATGCTCAAAAAATTTCATCAAAAAATTACACCGGGAAGGTGCCCAAACGGGCTCGGCCGGACGGGGCAGCCCGTCAGGCCGGCCTGATGAGAAGAGCTCTCTCTCTCTCTCTCTCTCTCTCTATATATATATATATATATATATATATATATATATATATATATATATATATATATATTCCTCAGCTAAATCTGGAGTTCTGGACCAAGAGAGGAGAACACACACATGGATGGGGAATCGGAGCGGTCGACAATAGAGAAGTAGTAAGGTTGGTTGGGAGTCTTTTGAAGCAAGAGAGATGAAGGAGGGTGGTTTTGGGTGCAACTGAAATATCTAATCTACTCCCTCTGTCCCTAAATTTACTTCCATTTCGCTTTTCAAGAGTCAACTTAAATCACTCTTAAACTCTTACTTTTTGTATCAAAACTTTATGAAAATTGATTTTTTTTGTGTAGGCTTTGTAGCGGGTTTAATGTAGTTTCTGAATATGTAAATTTTATTTACTAAAAATAATCCGAGTTTTCACAGGGATCATTTAACTTTATCGTCGGTCAACCTTCGTAATCCGCAATCGGAAGAACATTCAGGGACGGAGGGAGTAATAATTATCCTTAAAGTTGCAATTATTTACCAAAAAACCAAGAAGCAGTTAGAAGTAGCCATATACCAACTTCAATTTTTAGCTTTTAAGTGCTTAATTTAAGTAGAAACAGGGATTTGAAAACATCAAATTCAACGTTTTAAGCTATAAGCTAAAAAGCACTTTTTAAAATCGTTTGCAAACACTCCTTTAAATAGCGGGAATCAGAGTTGGGTCTGGATCGGATATTGGTAAACCTGAAGAACAACCTTAAAATCCAAGGTTATGAAAATTAAAACTAGAACAAGAACTATTATATATCGGTCCAAGTCGTGTTTTTAATATTTTGGGATAGGATAGCGCCAGTTAAAGCTGAACGAAAAATCAACACATCATCATTTTATATTTATCGCTCGAAAATACTAACACACAATAACGAAAATATTAGTCTCTAGAATTTCCAACAAATCAATTCCAATTTTTTTATTTAGTATGTTTAAAATAATGGGGATTTCCCATTACTTAAGGCAATTGTTTCGGGTATATTAATTAGTTTGTGAGTTATGGATTTTAGAGACCATAGACACGATCGATTTTAAGGATTTGCTAGGGTAATTTCTATTCAAGCTGTCTAAAAATAAATTAATCCGAGTGTCAAGAAATTTCAAACCAAATTCAAGCCGGTTTGCAGTTTTCAATATGATCTTTTTCATCCTGTGCATCGCACGGGTGAGTTACTAGTCTTGAATGAATGGACGGAGGTTTACTAAGGACCTTTTTGGATGGAGTTATAGGAAGCGTTGATAAGTGTTGTTTTGTGTTACGAAGGGAAAGTTAGTTATTGCTTAAAATAAACCCTTTTAACTTAAAATAAATCGAAAAATATGTTTGTTAATGTCTACTTCTACACTGCCGCATTTGCAGATAGTGAGACGATCGTAGAGAGCTCTTAGGGAGAGCCGTTGCGAGGTAATTTTTGATTTCGATCTTTCTTGATTGAAGTTCAGTCAGTGTTTCCCTAGTGAGATCTCTCGCGTAGGGTTTTTACTTCGCCGCCCTGGTGCGGCGTTTCTTTCAATCGACGCAGCACTGCGTCGGATTGTTGTGGTTTGGACGTAGCTCGGGATGGATGATCGTTGCAGCGAGAAGATGGTGGAAGAAGCGAGAGAGACGTAGGGATGATCGGGACATGATTAGCGTGGAGAGGCTGAACGCTCCATTCGATGGCATGGATTTGGGTCATACGGGGTACGCCACTGAAAGAGGGTATCAATCGAGCGACGGTCCGACCTCCGCCTGAACTACCACCATTGGTTGTACGAGGTGCTAGAGTCCGTGAAAGTTTTCCTAGTAATTTTTATCTGTTTGTCATTTGTTTTCTTGTGTTCATCTTTGTTGTTGGTTTTGACAATTTGTTTGAGTTTTTAGCCTCTCTTTATGTCATTGGGTATGGTTGGATCTATGAGAACAGGTTTGGCTGTGTCAAGCCCACTACATGGTTAGCGATTCGTGTTGCTCTTTCAGGGGTGACCGTCCCAAAGTCTCACCATAGGGTTACAGTCGTAGTTGTTGGAGTTTCAGTTGGTGTCAGTTTTATTTTCCCTTTGCTTGATATAATGATCCTGAATCTTTTGATATGAATAGAGGCCTGCTTTGATGAAAAAATGTCTACTTCTACTTTAATTCTTTAAAAAACACTTTTTTTAAAAGCTGATAGAGAGGCGCTTTAAACTGTTTTTTCACTTTTTTTATTAAAGATAGTTGGTGGATCTTGAGTTTTTGGCTGGTTGTAATTATAAATTATTGATTAAATTAATATAATTTGCCGTTTTTCTTTAAAATAAAAAAAATCTCTTTTTTTGTTGCAAAAAAAAACTTTCATTGTTTCTTTTTTTCTCCTTGCTATTTTTCTCTTTATTTTGATCTCTATGCACTACTTTATTCCTTTTTCATCTTTTTGTTCTCCCCCCCATATATATGTATTATATTTCCTATTCTATTAGAAGAGATTGTTTTGTAAAATTTCCTTCCCGAACAATTATTAGTGTCATTTTCTGCATCCTCTTCACATGTTCTTAATTTATTTCTTTTCCTTTGTGTTTTGTTTCTATTTTCCTGTTATCTGTGAAACTCGTGTTTTAGGTTTGGAGGGTGGAAGGGCTGTGGTAGGCATCGTTAGCTTTAATTTGCCCAATTTCGGTCTAGCGAGTTATATTGCTTTGATTAAGGTGATTAACTCAGAGTCTCGGCCATGGGCGGATGGCTACATGCGGTCCTTTCATGTTTTTGTACTCCTGCTGATTGCTATTTTAATGATATAAGCGCCTTACGATAAAAAAAGATCTTTTTCTTCATTCTACCTTTGTTATAATTTATTTTTCACCCCCCCTCCTTGTTACTTTTTTGTCTTTTCTTCTTTCTTTTTCTCTTTTCTTATTATCATAATTTCACCATCTATATTTTTTTTACTCAGCTCCTTTCTAAATCTTCGTATTTAGCTAAGTAAGTTCACTGATTAATCTCATCAATTATGGGGCAAAGTTATTGTGAAAAAATAGGGAAATATAAAATATAAAGAAAAATAAAAAGGAATTGGCCTAAATAAGACTAAAACATTATCTAAATTTCAAAATATGACTTTAAGCTTATTGTTCTCTGAAGATTGCACTTTTACCTCTGATTAACCTAACCTAGATGTGCGGCCTTCTCCCTCTTTTAGTTGCTTCTTATTTCAAATTCGTAATTCTAAAATTCAAATTAAAGTATAATTGACATTAATACTCTGTTATGTAAAAACAATACCTACTCCCGTTTGCAGTTTCTTTGTGTACTCTTACAAACCCTCCTTTTATTTCCAGACTAATTTTATGTGTTGTCGATGAATTTATATTCATATGCTAATTTGATGGGAATTGCACCATTTGGGACAATGTTTAGTTTCACTAAAGATCACATTCTCTTATAACATTTGGCTACTACATTGCAAATATTTTTATCGGGCAATATATTAAATGCATATTAAATACATGATTTAGTTACTTTAAAGTCTTTATCAGCCATTTTAGTGAACGTATCAAATATGGAGTATTATTGGTTCTACTCATTCGATTAATGACGCCACGTATCAAATATCGTTTCCACTCATTCGATCAAATATTTTATTAAACCTGGGTAAGGGCATTAAATAATCCCTAAAAAATATGCCTAAAAACTAAATAATCCCTAAATAATTAATGCCCACTCATCAAAATAATCCCTAAAAAATATTTTATTTGATCAAATATTTTTTAATTTCCAAATTAAAACTAAATATAAAATGTGAATATAAGTCTTCCTTGGGTTTAAGTATTTTAATGCTTAAATTAGTTTAGCTTGCTTTCTTCCTCGATTTGTAGGTGCGCTAGACTTTTACGTGGCGTCTTACGTTCAGAGTCGTTTAAACGATATCATTCACTGCCTTTTAAAAACATAGGTTCTATATTAAAAATATTAATGATCCTCTAAAAAACCGGTTACTCACAGTTATGAGTTATCCCCGATATCCGTTGCCAGCTTGCAAATGATATGATTTGGGGAAAAGATTCTGCTTGGTAAGGGCATCCTCATCCATAGGATTATTTAGGGATTATTTTGATGACGTGGATGTTATTTTTTTAGATTATAGTTGAGATGTTGGGATTATTTGAAGAGATTATTTGATCAAATAATCTGGTATCAAATTCTAAATCTGGATTATTTGAAGATTATTTCCAACTTTTAGTCTCCTCTCCCAATTTTCTAGGCATATTCATAATTAAGGAACCAAAAGTTTAAAACTCATGCGCTAAAACTAATTCACGGTTAAACATTCACACGGAGCACATTATAAACTGCATGGCTACCACTTGTGCATTTAACATTCAACTTGCAAACTCAATTAAAAAATTAACCCGTACTAATATAGTAATATAGGTAATAATAATGTAGTGTAGAAATTTTGAAATTAGTGTACACACTTTCAAGTTAAAGATTAATTAATATATAATAGTGGGTACTAATAATATATACGGAGTACATAAGAATAGTATGGAGTAATATACTACGTATTACACACTATAACTTTATAGTGTGCAGGTTAGTGTGTGAGTGTATTTAAGTTAAAGATTTTGAAATCGAGTATTTGTTTCACAGAAAGTCTAGATAAATTAAGATCATGGATGAGGAAAAATTAATTAATTTGAAGATTATTTGAGATTTTCTTATGTAGAAGTGACTTGGCAATAGAAAGTCATAACAAAATGTAAAATTGAGGATCATGAATGTGGATGCTCTAATAGTCTAATAGGGTGGGAATTGCAAAAACTATTCTTCTCTCTAGGGTTTGGCTTCCTAGCCGTCTCTAGTGTAGTATCAGTTTTCCCGTTTCTCCCGTCTCGGCGTAGCAGTGCTTGCGAAGCAGGGACGAAGAATGTGGCGGTGGGGCGCGGATTCGAGGGTTGGTTTCGGAAACGCAGAAGCAGGGGATCGATCGAGGCGGCTTCGACTCTAGCATCGATCGGTGGGCTTAAGGAGGGGACAACAATAAGGAAGTGTTGAACCAATATAAGATGATGACTTTAGAAGGGGACAACAATAATCTCTACAGAGAAGGCTTGGTAGAGAAAATGATGAATAAGGGGCAAGGTGAAGTAGAAGCTACAGTACCGCTGAAGCGTCCCCCTCCTGAACCGCCGCCATGGAGTGCAGAAGAGGCTAGAGTTTGGAAGCATCTTTTTAATTTTACTTTGTTCTTGCGATTTGCTTTTCAAGATCAGACTGTTTATTTTTCTATTGATTATTTTTATTATTGTAAGACTCTTGCATTAGGATTGGGGAATGAGAGTTCTGCAGTAACCATTATTGGCTCAATTATGCACATTTTCGGAACAACGAGTTATATTGCTTTTTCAAAGGCAATTAACTTTAGAGTCTACCCCAAAAAAAATGTGAGGTATATTTTAGCCCCTTTCTTCCCCCAAAAAAGTCTAATAGGGTGGATAAATTATCCAACTAGACCAATCCAATTATATGCATAACCGTGACGAACAGCCCGCTACCATCTCTTGGGTTATTTGTGATCAAAAATGATCTTTGTGGGCCGAATTTTTTTGGCCGTTTGATTCGTGGCAAAACCTGCGTAGGAACCTCAAATCCCCGATCTTCAAGCAAGCTGCTCACTTCGCTTTCCATCCATGGCGACGGAGAACAACACGAAGGCGAACAAGAAGAACAAGCAGCGCTATCTCCCCCACAACGTAGTTTCTGTCTCTTTGTATATGTAAATATGTTCTCGTCTAAGTAAATACACATATATAATTGTTTTTCATCTTTTTTTTTGTTTTTATAAATTAGAAGGCAGTGAAGAAGGGTTCTTATCCGTTACGCCCAGGAGTTCAAGGTTTTTTTATAACGTGCGATGGAGGGAGGGAACGACAAACCTCTCATGAAGCTGTTAATGTTATTGATTCTGTATGCAATCAAGTCCGAATTTCTTTTGTTTCCCATACTTGCTCAAAAACACGAGTTCGAATTGATATTTTTCAGACGTTATCGTCAAAAATACTTTTTTAGATTTAAGCCTTATGATTGATCAATTCTAAAGTTTACACAAGCATAATTTTTTTTTTTTATTTGGCTTTGTTGATAGTTCTTTGGACATGATTGAAAAGCAACATGAATATTCCCAAGGAAGTGTTTTTGGGTATATTTGGGAGTTAGGTTTTGATGGGCAAAGGAGTGGAGGGGTCGATTTTTTATTTTAGGAATTTAGTGTTTTAACATTACAAGTTTTCCAAATAAAAGATACAAAATGATAAAGTGTAATTTCAATGTTCAACTCACTTATGAACTCTCTATGTCCCAAAGTATAGTGGGGTTTTGAATTATGACGCTTGAGTGCTTGACTAAAGGTGAGCTAATTCTCCCCTAGAAATATATTTAAAAGAATTACCCTAAATAAGAGCACTAACGTTTTTATTCATTAAATAGGAGTAACTATTACCATGTTTGGAAATATTGTCAATTATGACATTAATACTGTCATATATAAGCCTAGTATTGTCAAAATATGGAAATAAAATTTCAGTATGACACTAAGTTACTCTTATTAAGAAAATAAAAATATTGTACCCCTGTTTTGGAACTTTACATTGTGTTTACTCCTATTACATTGTACGGCACGTACAATGGTCAATGGGACATAGGGTGCATTGTCATTCCTTATATAGTTATCAACTACTCATATTTGGTATTAGAATGAAATGGTTAAATATCTTTTTAGTTTATGTGGTTTATTTTTATTTCTGAATTTCTTTTCATTCATGCTACAAATTCTAGTTTTACGAAGAGCTGCTGCATGGGACACAATCAATGGTGGAAGACACTGATTCATCAAAACAATTATTGAACAAGAAAATTGTGTTTAAGTATTCTGATTCTTCTAGTAGCGGTGAGGAAGATGAAGGAAATGAAGATGATGAAAATGGAGAAGACCCAAAGGATGAATGTTACACACAGGGGAGTGAAGATAAAAAAGAAAAAAATAATGGATTTGAAAAAAAGGAGCAAACAGAATGTCTTGAGAATGAAAGAGATGAAATTGAGGGGCCACCTGCAAAGAAACAGTGTGTCGAGTCTGCAAAAACAGAATCTTTAACAACTGCTACTTCTAATAAGCCCAAGGAGCAATCTATTGATAGATTAATTGAAGCTGAGCTTGCTCAATTGGGAGATAAGAGCAAGGTATAAACAAAGCTACTGCTAAACATTCTTAACTGGTTGAGAAACATTATTTATTGCTCAAGAAAAGAAAGTCGTTGACATTATATCGTTCATCAATTTCATAGCATGCAGGACTATATTTGTTTTTCCAGTTTTGTAAGAGCTAACCTTGGCCTTAGGTGCCACTAGTCATAAGAGTGAACAATAAAATCGTTTTTTCAGGCATTAAGTGGCTCAGGTGTTCTTTGGGGATCCAGGTGGCGCCTAGGAAGGGGAATTTTAGCAGCATTGTGTTATTGAAAACTAATCTTTTTTGGAATTCTCTAGAAATTCTTGACATAATTGCAATAGTATTTTATGAGTGATGTGTTTCAATTGTCTGTTTCTAACTTGGAAAATTTTAGAGCAGAATACAGGCTGGATAGTTCAGGGGAAATTTGTAGAGAAATTTGTAACTGGTGATAACGTTAGATACTCCCTCTATCCTATTTTGATTATCCTTTTTTGATTTTAGACCATCCCAAAATATTTGTCCCATACCATATGTGGTCATCTTTATGCAGCTGAAAATTATCCATACCAACTCTTTTGGGACTAAGGCTTGGATGGTTGTTGTTTAGAATCTTAATACCAACCAGGCAACCATACACTTCCACATTTCATCATTAATTTGCGTGCCGCTTTCCTCTATCTCAAACTTATTGGAATGGAGTGTGTCTTCGATCAAACTGATTTTTTAATATATCTATTTTATATGAAGACTAAGAAATATATGTAAAACTTTAGAAAGTGTTAATAAAATTTGTTTTTTATGAAAAGGTGAAATAAAGCATTAAAACTATGCACCATAGCATTTTTCCCGTATCCCTACCATTAAATAAATTTATTCCAATCATAGCATAAAGGTAGAGTGGTTAAGGACCCTAGGCTCTATGCTGTGTTGGAATCCATTCGATTTATCATTTATGCCACGATGTATCATGGTTGTCACGGCGTCGACTAGGCGTTGCCTAGGCGCCGACTAGGCGTCCCGGCGATGGAGAAGCATCGACTTGGGAGATCGACTCGCCAGAAGATGAGCAGTCGCGTTTGGCGTCGCCAAGGCGTCGTCCTGGCGTGAACTTGGCGACTTGTGGCCGCCTATTTTAGCCCAGTCCGTCCGCAGGCCCAAAGCAGATTAAGGTTTAATTTTTAGGAAACACATTTAATTAAGGTTTTAAGGCGGTTGCCTTTTAATCTAATTAAATACACAGCTTGAAGCCATCGATTAACTCACAGAGTCACAGAGAAGCAACGAATTGACTTCAGAAGGCAGAAGAAGTCGCCGGTCAAGCCAATAGCCAACTCCCTGTCCGTCGTTGAAGCTTGAAGCATACTACGAGTCTACGACAGTCCACTTAAGTAACTTGAGTCCACCAATTTCTTATCTAATCTTATCTTTTATTCTCTAGGGGTGTAGTGGATTTATTTTTTCAATATTTTTATTTTTACTTAAGTGATATTTTTGTCAATATATGCATACATTATTTTTTTATGGTGATTATATAGATACTATAAAAGTATAAAACAATTAATTTATAAATATAGTGTAACATGCTGATATAGACATTAAACCATTAATTTATTATATATTTATATGGTATAAAGTATGAAATATTTAAACCATTAATTTATTATATGTAAATATGTAATATACAGATATACTGATCTCGTATTAGTTTAATAATAAACTATGAAATATTTAAACCATTAATTTATTATATGTAATAAAATAATAAACTATTAAACTATTACAAAAATATTTTATACTTCGTATATAATTAGTTAATTATGTATACAAATAGTTCAACCTTTTGAGAACTTAGTAGTTGGATCTTTACGCTGCTTATTTGAGATATACAATTTTATCTTAATTCTCATTAATAAACCTTGTTTTTGATTATTAGTTGTGGATTTCAATTCTAAGTTATATACATTTTAGTTAGTAATATACTATACATAATATATAATTAAATATATAATTATATATATAATATACGTAGTATAATATAATATACACATATAGGCGACTAGTCGCCTAATTGTCGCCTAGGCGGGCGCCTTGTCGCCTAGGCGATATGGCGGTCAGCTGGCGCCGCGACTCGACTTACCGCCGTGACAACCATGCGATGTATATGTGCTTTGGTTAACTTACTGCTGAGAAGTATGTGGATTTTCCTTGTATTCAAGTTTTCAAATTAACTATACTTAAAGATCGTGCAACACTTTAGCAGGACAATAATATGCTAGGTTCTGTGGGTTGTTGAATCTTTTAAATTTCTCAGTTTTACGTAGCATTTTATTTACCTGCAAACAGAGACGCTTTATTTACCTAGATTCGGGTTGCAATGGTGTTATCTTTATCCAAATGCGCTTTGGAGATGGTGACCCTACCCCAAAGGATATTGTCTACCATATGGTATCCTCTCTTGCCGCTACCAAGAAGCATGTTTCAAGGTCAGTCTAATCACGGTATTATAGAAAAAGTCAGGGACATTCCGTTAATCTGTGATGTAATGTAATACAGTGCCTGTGCAATGTAAATTAACACTCAAAATATACTCATCTCTGTCCCAAAGAGAGTCATGTTTTAAATAGTTGTTTTCTCCCCCCAAAAAGTAATATTAATAAAATCATGCCAACTTTATGAGAGGTTTTCCAAAAAGAAAGTCAAACAATGCACCACACCAACTTCATTTAAACAAGTGTAGATTTAGTTAAACAATAAAAATTAAGACCGGTTTACCATGTCAAAATTTAAAAGTTGTACCTCAATCAAACATAACTTCTTTCTTTGGGATGGATGTAGTATTTGGTTACATTGCATTCCATTACAGTTGATGAAACATTGCTATAGTAGCTTGAGCAATATAACTTTCTTGAAGGAGAATGATATGGTTTTGAACAGGTTCATGTTAAGACTGCTACCAATTGAAGCAACGTGCTACACATCTGATGAGGAATTGAAGAAAGCAATTAAACCTCTTATTGAGAAATACTTCCCCTCTGAAACTCAAAATCCGCTTAAGGTGTGGTTCTCAAATATTTTCACTCATTGCTTCATTTCATGCAACTGAGTTAGTAGTTTCTGCTGTTAGAAGGGATATTAGGACCTGTGTGTAAGGGTTGTTCGGGTCAAATGATTGAATCTGATGAATTTTATGAATATAAAGACGTTGAATTACTTTTACTTCAACCAAATCAGTCAAATTATACTCAGAGCCCATTTGGTAGGATTTTGTTGTTGTTGTTGTTATGAGCCTTATGTGCCAATTTTCCATCCAGCCTTAACTTGGAGTTGATGGACAACGAAAAAAGTACAGCACGAGTCACTTTGTAGCTATGTTGTAAAAACCGGACTGGAAAGCGACACGGACGAATGATCAGGTCACGTGTCAACCCGGTCAACACCGGAAAACCTGATAGAGAGCGGGAAGAGCATGGGGCGGGACCGGGCTTGGGTCCACTTTCGTGGGCCGTTTATGGGCTGTCATTATAGTTTAAATATTATTATTAAGTTAATGTTATGTTTTAGTTTGGGCCTATTATTAGTAGAGTACTTAAGTAGAGTTAGTATGGGCTTAATTAGGATTTAAATAATTTGGGCTTGATTAGGGTTTCTTGTAGAAGGCTATTTATACCCCTTGCCAAGGTTCATTCTTGTTTATCTGGGAATAAAAGTTGGTTTAGCCTTTTGGCTCTGGGCAATGGTATTTTTTATCGTTGATTATCTGGGCAACGGTTCACCGCGTTGATTTTATTTTTCTGCTTCACAACAATTGGTCCGACCTGCCGGATCCCGTCCCGCCAGGAGCCCAGGACCCCACGAGACAGACAAGTTGCAGCGGCTAGGGTTTCTATGGAATAAGAACGGATAAAGAACAACAAGTAACAACAAGAGTAAGAAGTGAGTTGGAGTCCGTCTTTATCTTTCTCACGGCACACCCAGGTTCAATTCCCAGCAAAGACTGCTTATTTTGAATAGGCTGCTTTCTGGGTTTTATAGTTTTTTCGGGTTCACAACAGTCTGGGTTGTACCCGGGTCTGAGCGGGCGGGGTTTTCCGATTTTGCCAATGGTTGGGAGTCAGTAGGTAACCGGACCGGGTAAAGGGCCGGTTCACCGGTTTCTGACCTGACCCGCCTGGTCTGGTCCGGTTTATTATACATAGGTTTTTAGCCCATTTAGGTATTTAATCATTATAGCCACTATTTCAGTAATTTCAGGCTTTCAGCAGACAACAACTTTAGATTCAGGTTTTTGCACTTTACCTAAAAATTGTGATCTATGAACTGTTTATATCTGGTGTGGTAATCTGAATGAGTGAATGGGTCATCTGAATGCTTCTATATGATCCGGCCCTAAGCTCATTGAGTAGTCCAACATGAATGCTTCTGAAATATAATATCTGGCCTGATCTAGTGTGATTGATTCTTTGATATATGATCATAATGTGTTTGGTTTGATTAGAGTAAAATAAGAATAACTATTAAGCAAATAAAATGAGGTGAAGAGCAAATAAAACAATCTCAATCTCTTAAGCTAGTTTAAGCCTTGCCAAGCAAGTTCTTATAATGTTTCTAAATAGAAAAAGCAATGGGTACCGAATGGCGAATGGGCCTTAAAGTTTCACCTTGGATCTCTCAGCAGTCAGCAAATGAATCACATGTCTTTTTTGGCCTTGAGATATAAAAATGGAAACTATGGTACTTGTATTTGATTATTGTAGTGTTGCATTTAAATTTGCAATATTCTGAATGGACCTGTGCAGTGTGTATTCTAATCTATTACTCAAATGAAGTGTTATTCATACAGTTTGCAGTGCTTTACGATGCCCGTGCGAATTCCGGAATAAGCAGATCAAAAATTATTGACACAGTTGCGAAATCTGTCCCTCTACCTCACAAAGTTGATCTCAGCAATCCAGATTTGCATATAGTGGTTCAAATTGTGAAGGTGAGTCATTTCTTCACTTGCGTGTTTTTTCTCCAACCAATACAAAATCCAAACCTAACACAGTATGTGCCACCAAGAAATAGGGTCGGGAATCTCGTAGGAGTAGTGAAGCTCCAAACCATGGGACACCCCGGCTAAGGTTGTATGAACAGTGCGAAAAAACTATTTAAGCATAAAAAGCAGTTTTTTTATTTGCTGTGTAAGCCTATCAAATCAGGAATGTTTAAGCTGACTAATCCTGTTTTCAAATTCTAACAATGGAGTTGAGTTGAAGTATGCTTTGATCAAAGTCGACTACCCAACTGTATGTTAAATAAAGTTCTGGATGATTTATCTTGCAGACAGTTTGCTTGCTTGGGGTTGTTGAAAAATACAAAGAATTGGCCAAGTACAATGTCAGACAGCTGACATCTTCTAAGTGAAGTTGTTGAATTTGCCAAAAGCACATCTACATAGATTGTGAGCAGCATTAGAAATTATGGTGGAATTGTTTCTTTTTTAGTCTCTCCTCTTGTATTATTAACAAAGATAATTTTTGTTTGAAATTATGTTAATGTGATGTTTGCTTAGAGCTGTGAATTAAGAGTAGCTGTCAAAATACAATCAGGTTTCCTAATATAAATCAACTTTACACCCTCTCAAACTGTGCGAGAGATACAACACCCATGTTGTCTTTTAAGACAATGAAATTGCTGGTTAGATATCCTCTCGGTAAAAATATCAGCTAGCTAGCTGTAACTGAGTACGAATGTATTTAACAACCAAGTGTCCAAGTCTTCATGAGCCACACGTTAATGAACAAAGTGGCAATCAATCTGAATATGCTTGCTTCGAGCATGTTGTATTGGATTGACAGTCAAGTAAGAAGTAGAGATATTATCACAAAATATCACAAAAAAGCTGAACATGAGTTCTAACTGGAAAATGAGCTCATACAGGACAGATTAGATGTGTAACGTGTCTTGGATAGTGTAGGCAATTGCTCTATATTCTGCTCTTATGAAGGATTTGGAAACTGTAGGTTACTTTTTGGACTTCTAAGAGACAAGATTCGACCCCAAAAATATGGCAAACCTAGTGGTGGAAGTGTGGAACGAGAGGTGTCTGGACCCGTTCTTCGTTTTTGTTATTTTGTACGAAGTACATAGCTCCCGATATTTTTCCTTTCTTACTTCATCATCAATTCATCATTTCATCATACGCATATTCCATCTGGAAATCAATTTCGTGGAAGGAAGGCACAGTGGAAAACGAGTTACTGAACAGGAAAAGCTCTAAGAAATACTGTATTTTCCACAAGGAGAAGCCTTTTGACGAAGATTGCAGCGATGAAGAAGAAAATAAAAGCTGTTGTAATGATCATCACCAATTCTCCACAATCAGGGTCTTGTGAAGATTGCGGTACCTCGGTAGATGCAAAGATCATTGGTTGATTGAACTTGTAACCGTAACAAATTTTATGGTATAGTTGAAAACCTCTTGAGTTATTAAATTTTTGTGTTTTTTTCTCCTTGATCAGGTCCGTGGATTCAGGATATGTAATGTGTTAATGTGGAAATTCGGAGTATGGTTGGATGAAAAAGAGATGACGGTGTCATCCATTGATGTTATGAAAAATGTGTAATGTGTACTTTTAGTGAGCATATGACTTATTATATTGAGTATTAGGAGGCTAACAATGAGTGTCACGATCTGCTTCATATCTTCTAATTCTTTTTTATTTATTTTTATTTTTTCTTTCATAAAAACTTATTAAATTATAATATCGTATCTATAATACACTCCTATTAATTTCAATATGAGAGTGTAATGTAATATGATACTTTTGAAATATGCATTGACATAACATTTTAAAAATGAGCATAACATCAATAGCAAATGAGCATACATACTTACAGAGTGGACATTGATATGAGAATCTTAAGGTTGTTCGTTGAACATCGTGACATTTTAATTGAGCATCAAACCTCCATTATCAAGATGAAAATCACCGTGTCTGGTAAATGAGCACTAATGAACTTTTAATGAGCATCAGACCTATTATGTTGAGTATTAGGATTCTAATATTCAGAATTGTGATCTCTGCTTCATAACTTGTATTTCACTTTCTTTGTGTTATTAAATCATAAGGTTTGTTAGTTGAACATCATGACATTTTCATTGAACATCAAACCTCCACTATCGAGATGAAAATCACCGTTGCTGGTAAATGAGCACTAATGAGCTACGACCAGAGGTAGAATTGGTATAGGTTGTATTAGGGTTTGGATTGGTAAAATTAGGATTATAGCGATGATAGCATATCAAGGCATGATGGTCAGGTTTTCCACATACCTGACAGATTATTGAGCTACGACCTCCAAATCGACCACCTCTACCCCTGTTGAAACCTCCGCGACCTCTTCCTCTATACGAATTTGAATGATTAGGGTTATTGAATTGCGCCATGTTCGCAGAAGAAGATTCTGTCGCTGTAGGAGCTTCAGGATTTGAATTGTGAGGTGAGGTTTCAGTATGAGCAACATTAGCAGAGAAGATAGCTGGAGTAGTTGCTTCGCGAAACTTTTTCAGACGCATCTCCTTGAGTAAAAGTAGAGGTTCCAGTTCAGAAACAGTTATTGGATCTAGAATGCTTTGAGAAGATACTGATGACACAAGGGATTCATATTCCTCTGGAAGTCCTTCGAGGATTACGTTGACATGATCTTTGGTAGATATCGGCTCTCCAATCAAACTGGGATTATCAACAATTGTCTGAATTCGAAGGAGATATTCTGCAATCGATCGATCTCCTTTGCCAGTATTGTAAAGCTTAGATTTCAGTTGCGTGGCTTTGGAAAAACTTTCGAATCGTACTCCAAAGCTTATGCGAGTGTTGACAATGGATTACTCGAGCATGGAGTGATTCAGATAGAGAGGAAAGTAGCCATGAAAATAACATCTGGTCTTGTTGTTCCCATACAGCATACTCCTCGTTAATCATCTTGTTTACTTCATCATCGCCATTGATAAATTGATTAGGAATCTTCGGATTTTCCACAAATTTCAACAATTTGTGCGCTCGAATGATTGATTCAATGTGGTGCTTCCAGAGAAGATAATTGTTTGAGTCGAGTTTGATTGGGAGCGGATGTGTAAACACTGCTGGAAACTGTAAGGTGTTAGAGACAGTTTCTTAATTTATTTTTTGGAAACACGTTTCTTAATTTATTTTAGGAAACGCATCCTAGTTGCCTTGGTGTTAAGATTTAATTCTGTATAAATACAAGCTCTCTCCCTTGTAATCATTGTGTGTGGATCCGAAAATAGCAATAATATGCCTGGCTTGGTAGTGCCCCCAGACGTAGTCATTCATTGGTAGCGGCCCCAGATGTAGTCATTCGTGGCGAACTGGGTTACCAAATTTCGTGTGTTCTTCGTTATTGATTTTCGTGTGCGTGAATTAAATTCCTAAAAATTGGTATCAGAGCCCTGGGTTCAAAAGGAGATCTCACGATAGCAGACAATACGAAGACACCGGTGATGCAATTTGACAGAACGGATTATGGATTTTGGAAGTTGCAGATCGAAGATTACCTGTACGGTAGAGATCTGTATCAACCTCTGGATGATAAACCGGAAGACATGAAGGAGAGCGACTGGAAGTTGCTGGACAGAAAAGCGATGAGCGTGGTTCGATTATCGCTGTCCAGAAACATCGCCCTACATACCGTCAAAGCAAAAACGACAAAGGAGATGTTGCAGATTTTGTCGGATATGTACGAAAAACCATCCGCCGTGAACAAAGTTCATCTGATCAGGCGTCTTTTTAAACTAAAGATGTCAGAAGGTACGAGGGTGGTGGATCATCTCAACGAGTTCAATGTAATCACCACACATTTGAGCGCGGTTGAGATAAAATTCGACGACGAAATTCATGCCCTAATTCTGTTGTCTTCTCTCCCGGAAAGCTGGAACGGAACGGTGACTGCAATCAGCGCTTATGCGGGGAAGGAGAAACTGAAGTTCGATGAAGTCAGGAATCTGGTGGTCAGCGAAGAAATTCGGAGGAAGGAATCAGACCTGGCTTCTAGATTGGCGTTGAGTACAGAGAACCGGGGCAGAACGAAGTCGAAGTCCAAGTCAAATCGGGATAGATCAAGATCTAAATCCAAGTCAAACAGAAAGGGCAAGAAGGACAGAAGTCAGATCAAGTGCTGGAACTGTGAGGAGTACGGACACTTCAAGAGCCATTGCAAGGAGCAGATCAAGGATTAGAAGGAGAAGACATCTGCCAATGCAGCGGCAAAATCATCGGGTGATGATCTCCTGATCCTGAGCGTGAGCAGTCCGTTGGAGTCATGGGTTCTGGATTCTGGAGCCTCGTTCCGTTCATGTGGTAATTTTGAGGTGATGGAACAGTATACTCCTGGCAATTTTGGAGAGGTGTATCTTGCTGATGATGAACCTCTTAAAATTGTCGGGAAGGGGACAGTCCACGTGAAGACTCCGAACGGATGCATACTGAAACTGAATGGTGTCCGACACATTCCTAGTTTGAGGAAGAATCTTCTTTCAATTGGGCTGCTGGATGAGGAAGGTTATGCAGTTACATTCGGCAGCAGAAATTGGAAGATCACCAAGGGAGCCTTGCTGGTTGCTAAGGGGAAGAAGGAGGGTACGTTATACATGACAACGAACTCGAAGGACTGCATCGATGTTGCTGCCGCTGCAACAAACGATGTGAATTTGTGGCACTGTCAGCTCGGTCACATGAGCGAAAAGGGGATGAAGGAGCTGTGCTTGAAGGGCAAACTGCCCGGTCTGAAGACTGTTGAGGTTGGCTTATGCGAGGACTGCATATTCGGGAAGCAGAAACGTGTCAGTTTCTCAAAGGGAAGACGAGCGATCAAACCGGAGAAGCTGGAACTAGTTCACACTGACCTTTGGGGACCTGCAGAAGTTACATCCTTGGGAGGATCCGCCTACTACATGACCTTCATTGATGATCCCACAAGAAAGGTATGGGTTTATTTTCTCAAAAATAAATCCGATGCCTTTGATGCTTTCAAGAGGTGGAAAGCTTGTGTTGAGACAGAGACATGTCTGAAGTTGAAGTGTCTTCGGTCAGATAATGGAGGTGATTATGAACTGCATGAGTTCAAGAATTTTTGTGCTGAGAATGGGGTTCGTATGGAGAAGACAACAAAGGGGACTGTAACACCCCGGCCCTGCAGGACCCGAGGTAGTTACTACAGTAGACCTCTAGTACTGTCCTCACAAACCACCACTAGCCTTTACCGCACACTTTTTCCTCACTCATGCGCGCCCTGAGAAACTTCCCAGGGGGTCACCCATCCCAAGACTACTCCCGTGCAAGCACGCTTAACTTTGGAGTTCTTAGTGGATGGGCTCCCTTAAAAGGAGATGCACCTCTGTTGGTATGAGTAGTACTATTAATCCGTTTATATTAAATCTCAAGTGTTACAGGGACTCCGCGGTATAATGGCGTTGCAGAATGCATGAACAGAACACTGAATGAGTGGGCAAGATGCATGAGGTTGAAGAGTGGCTTACCGAAGATGTTTTGGGCGGATGCAGTGAACACCGCGGCTTTTCTCATCAACAGAAGTCCAACGATCTCGTTGGAGAATGGCATTCCTGAAGAAAGGTGGACGGGTAAAGAGGTAAATCTGTCCTATCTCAGCATATTCGGTTGTGTTGCTTATGTTCATATCAGTTCCATTGACCAAAGCAAGTTAGATGCAAAATTTGTTAAGTGTACGTTCGTTGAATATGGTGGTGATGATTATGGATACAAATTCTAGGATGATCAGAATAGGAAGATTATTCGTAGCCGAGATGTGGTGTTCAACGAACAGATTATATACAAGGACAGATTGAGTGCATCTGATTCTGAGCAAGATAGACCGAAGATCATAGAGTTGGATATCTCTAATTCGGGTGGGAGCAAGCAGGATCAGAATGAAGAGTTGAGCAGTGATGAGGATCCATCAACCCCGCCAAGGCAGCGGCCTGCAAGAAACCGGAGAGCACCAAATAGGTATTCACCTTCTAATTTCTATTTGTTGCTTACAAGGGCAAGTGGAAACTTGCAATGGATGATGAGATGTCATCTCTCACATCCAATGATACTTGGGGGTTAGTTGAGCTACCGAAAGGAAAGAAGGCTTTGCACTGCAAGTGGGTCTACCGCATCAAGAAGGAGACATATGGTAACAAACGCTACAAAGCTAGGCTGGTTGTGAAGGAGTTTGAGCAGCGTTATGGTATTGATTACACCGACATATTCTCTCCAGTTGTGAAACTTACTACTATTCGGTTAGTGTTGGGGTTAGTTGCTGCAGAGAATTTGTTGTTACATCAGATGAATGTGAAGACTGCATTCCTTCATGGTGATCTGAATGATGAGATTTACATGGTGCGACCAGAGGGCTATGTGGCGGAAGGCAATGAGAATCTCGTATGTAAGCTAGTGAAGAGCTTATACGGGTTGAAGCAAGCACCGAAGCAGTGGTACAAGAAATTTGATGGTTTCATGCGTGAAATCAGTTTCTTGAGATGTCACATCGACAATTGCTACTACTACAAGAAGACAGAGAACTGTTATCTTATCTTGCTATTATATGTAGGTGACATGTTGATTGCAGGAGCTAGTTCAAAGGAGATTGAGAAGCTAAAGAAACAATT